CACGGGGTGAGATCTTGCGTGGAGCCCCAGATCGAGGGAGATTATCAGTGGTCTTGTATGTCTTCCATTTTCTAATAATTGCTCCCACAGTTGATTTCTTCACACCAAGCTGCTTACCTATTGCAGATTCAGTCTTCCCAGCCTGGTGCAGGTCTACAATTTTGTTTCTGATGTCCTTTGACAGCTCTTTGGTCTTGGCCATAGTGGAGTTTGGAGTGTGACTGTTTGAGGTTGTGGACAGGTGTCTTTTATACTGATAACGAGTTCAATCAGGTGCCATTTATACAGTTAACAAGTGGAGGACAGAGGAGGCTCTTAAAGAAGACGTTACAGCTCTGTGAGAGCCAGAAATCTTGTTTGTTTGTAGGTGACCAAATACTTATTTACAATTAATTCATTAAAAATCCTACAATGTGATTTCCTGGATTATTTCGCCCCATTCTGTCTCTCATAGTTGAAGTGTACCTAGGATGAAAATTACAGGCTTCTCTCATCTTTTTAAGTGGGAGAACTTGCACAATTTGTGGCTGATTAAATACTTTTTTGCCCCACTGTATATATATACACACACTGCACGCGGATTCACGGGCTCTCTTTCTGTACACAGCGCTGTGAAGACTTGCTTGTTTGATCCAATACAACGATACTTTATTAAATTATTCCTTTGAACTTTCCGAGACTCCATTCGTCTCCTTTTTAACTTTCTCCTGGCTGCGAACCAAAGAATACATCTTCACTTCCTCTCCTTCTTCCAAAACGTACATTTCTTGCAGATTCTGTATTTGTCATGGTTGCCTCTGTGTTCTACAGCCATGACCCTAGAATTTTATCCAGGGTTTGCTAGTGTTTCCCCTTCCATGGTTCTATTACAATTTCCAAACGTAGGCATTCAGGTGCATTCCCGGTTATTGACAATTCGACCCCAACCATGTTTTTTCTGTGTGTTGGCATGGTTTCCCCTCCTGCTCATCATGCATCCCTGCAATCAGCTCTCCATGTCCTCAGTGTGCTCAGCTGCCTCTCATCAGCTCACCTTTTACCAACACAGCTCTTCAACAGATTGTTGTTTCAACCTTATTGAACTCAAGCTCCTTTCACACATGCCTTGCAACCATGAAATTATCTTGATATTAACCAGAGGAGCTGTTTGTGAAAACAAATGTCGGAATCATTTTGACCGGAGATCTTTCAGACTTTTTGCTGCCAGCAGTGTGTGTGTAAAGTCCAATTTGGCTAATCCGAGTACAGAGTTCAAACCCCTAACCCTAAACCCTTATTGTCCAAAAAGTGTGATACCAGAAGAAAAATAACCTAGGGCAAGTAGGTCTTGCAGCAAACAAACAATTAAGGTTAGGAAAATATCTCAAGGGGGGGTTTTGTGCAGTGAAGTGGGTAGACTGTGAGATTGGAGCTAGACCCATCTCCAAGCTTAAAGAAGAATTGTCATTCAAACAAAAATACCAACAAGATATCTAACTGGAGAGACCCAGAAACCTTACCACGTATTTACCTGGAAGTCATGTGAGAGTTCAGGACAGAGGCGGCTGTACTGTGGCAGCAGCTCTTTGGGTCTGTCCGGGTCGGGACGGAAACAAAGTTTGTTCAGGTCAGTCTCCAAATCATCATCCTGGAAAGAAAGAGTTAAACAGAAACATACTCAAAGACTTTTAAATTTGGACAAGTCTTTGGGCAATTAAAGTGTCTTGAACCAGACAATGAATTGAAGAACGACCACTCCAGCACAACCGCTGGAGTGGTACGAACCTCATGCTCCACAACTATTAACCAAATGCTTGAGGACTTGTTGCTGTCACTGTGGCATTTTCCGTTTTCGACCTGCATATTATACTGGCATATTTTTCACCATGATCCTACTCACATATGACAACTTAATTAGCATATGTATTGAGAGGAACTGATAGCCAGTAGATCAGGTAAAAAATTTTTAAAAAAACAACAACTGAAAAACTGCTTATGCTGCCATTCAAAACTTCGATGATGGAAAACCAGGGGTCATTAAAGTATGGTTGAAAAATGAATAGTATCTCATATAAAATTATATATAATACTTTATAAAACGGAAAAGTCAAATCAATCAATCTGATTGGTTCTTAGCCGTGATATACTGAGCGTATACCACGGGTAGAATTGTAGTTACTTTCCACGACAAGTCAGTATCCCTCCGCGTCTGAGAAATACTGTATACAGTTGGGCTGAAAGCTTTTCAAACTGGGACAAGAAAACAGCGGAGAAGTAACAGGGCAGAAGCCCTCCTTTTTACGCAGCGGTCCAGACATAGACATCAAACGGCAAAACATATTCAGTGTGCAGTTCCTTTGGCATTAGGGCAAGGATATCTAGATAATTTCCAAGGTTTGACATAATGAATTGTGCTACTTTTAAAGCAAGCAACGATGTTTTCAAATCTGTAATCAAAAAGGTCCGCAAAAACGCTATCAACCAATCATATTNCGCAGGAGGACCAGTCTTTCTCGGGTTTTACACAGACTACTTTAATTAAACTTGTGTCTTCAATAAAGAAAAAGAAAAATGACTATGTGCCAATGAGGCGCGCGGCAGACAGAAAACCGACCCCAGTTCCCTCTTAACACCTAGTTGAATCATCTATGTGGTTGCTAATAAAGATCTATTGGCACGAAAGTCTCACTAGTTAAACCAGATTACAATTACATAAGGAAAGGGTCACTGACTGAGTAAACAGACAATAATAGGCACACAACCATCATATAACTCGTTGAACCTGGCCGACCGTGCACCTGTAGGGGAAGGACAACTACTGTCTGAGGACAGATGCAGGGGACCGGAGACGACGACCGGAGGAGGAAGGGACGTTCGACGAGTGATACTGGAGTTTGTGTGGTGTCGAGGTCAGTGTCGATGTCCTTTCCATGGACCGTGCGAAGAATGGAAACGTAAGTATCGACACTTATGTTTTTCGACTTACCTGAAACTGACTGCATAACACACAAACTAGTCAAACAAACGCCTGACTACTCACACGGTCACTTCACAAAGTAGCAAGACGCTCAAGGGGTTCACTTGTTGTTGTTGTTGTTGTGACCATCGATGTCCCTGTCCATGGACTATAAGTACCTCTTCCCATGTGTCTGTCTGTAGCCTCGGAAACTTGTCCCACACACACCACAGACGTCGAGGATTGAGACAAAACTAGACGACAACATGTCCTTTCAGGAGGCCAACCTGTCAGGTGAGTAGGTTTGGTGTCAGGTGAGATCAGAGTGCAGTAGGACGACTTCTGCCAAGGGAGAGATGTAGGTGCGACCAGTCAGTTCAGTTATGTGTGTAGTGTACGGTAACCATATACTTGACAAGTTTTGACTGACAATTTCCCCGACTTATGATTTAGGTCTTGTGTCCGATCCAACTCCTCAACGAGTGGTGATGTTCGAATTGACACAGTAGTTCGAAATTTGTAACTTTTGTGCCTCGACAAATAGTTAAGTGAAGACAATCACTTGAAGGTAAAGGAAGTGACGGTTGTTGAACATTATCAAACGCATCAGAGCACTTTAAAACCTACACATTTTACAAACAGCGCGTTTACTGTGTCCCGATGTCATGAGGAGTTACAGATTAGTTACGACGATCAATCAATCGATCCATGCGTTACAACAGAAAGCACCACGTTTTAGGAATGTCTGACGAGTTACCTGGGTTATTTTGTTGTTACCGAAGATTTGTCGAAGTCAGTATTGAATGTGGTATTGAGGTGATATAGGAATTTGTCAACAAACGATGCTAATTACGAGACTTACGCCAAGTATCTGGGAAATTAAAGGGACTAGAGTCTCGAGGTTAAAATATGTGTAAACTTAAAACAGGATTAAAAGTCAGTAAAGAAAAAGACTACCTTATATAAAGATTACACACAACATACAGTCGTAATTTTTACACACAGAACCAAAGTCTAAATGGTAGGAAGACCCGCTCCAGTCTCTCAAGGGAGAAAGTCACGCGATGGTGTAGCTCTTGTCTTGCAAGACCACGTCCTCCACCTCTACCGACACCTCGCGCAGTCTACGGAGTACAAGAGGCTGAGTTTGTCCATGTTGTCCGCGAGTGAGAATCTATGGTAAAAATACACTTGCACGTGTGTGTCGAACCTCTCCCTTTCGGATCTAAGTGTTTCTGTCAAAATTGGGACAATAGAGACTGAGTCCTTCAAATCAAATCAGTCTCTTTAGGACCAAAAGACAACTTGAGTGAAGTGACACTATGGGGGACCTCACGATTTTACGGACTGAGTTAAAGGGCTGAACGATTAATCGATTTTAAATCGAAATTTCAAATGATGCGATTATCAAATAGCAAAGCCAGCGATTTAAAAAAATTTTTTTTTGTTTTTTTTGTTCTTCTGTGTGTCAGTCATCCACACCAATCAGAAGTGCTGTGCTCCACATGCACCAGCCATTGTTAACCAATCAGAAGTGGCCCATGATAGAAGGTGATATACAGATTGATCCAATCACCTGCCAAGTATTTTTGAAAGTGCCTGCCCTTTCCAAATGGCCTCCAATGGAGCTTTCCTAGATTGTTTGGTGAAACAGACCATCTGAGTCAGGTTAGTAATGCTCCATCACATGTTTCTATTACAGGGTGAATCTTAAACTGAAGCTTGACTTTAAAGCAACCCAACGGAAGTTTCATGTAAGTTTAGTTCTTTCACTCGTAGCTCGGGCTGCAGGGGTGCTAGAGACGGGAGCACGTTGATACGACCTTCCTAGCCGGAGATATGGCTGCATTTTACAATAAACTTACGTTGGGTCGCTTAAAAACAAATATCGCAAGTCGAATCGCAATCGCAATATTTGTCAGAAAAATCGCAATTAGATTTTTTTCCCAAAATCGTGCAGCCTTAGCTCAAAGTAGCAACACTTTCTTTTGTTAGCTCAAAGTAGCAACACTTTCTTTTGTCTTTGGACAACAGGTATCAGCACACAGTCTGGGTGCTGTTTTTCTTTGCTACCAAACAGCTGTTTTTAAGACAGACATCAAAACCGAGAAGACACAAGAGACATTTTGAACCGAATTTCTTGAGCCATAACATAAAGCTAACGCTTTTCAACACTAATGTAATTCCTCAGCTAGAATAGAAAAGGCATGCAGACAAAATATGGCTAATTGGATGTGATCCTTATGGAAACTCCTCTGAGCTTTTCTGGACACTTTTATTGTCTGAAGATACAGCGTGACTTTATTTGACTTTTATTCTATTCCTATCAATACACGGGAGAAAGTCTGAAAGCATGCCACAGCACAGATGAGTAGCAGGACTACTGATGTTGGGTCATTTTGCCAACAATATGAGAGGATGTCTTAACTGAGGGAAGAGCAAGACCAGAACTGTAGAATTCCCTCAAATGAAAACAAGTTTTTCTCCCGGTCTGGAAGCAAGAGTGTGATTGACAGATGGTTAATTGAATCCCCTGCCAAGGGCCTGCCCTTTTCAAAACATGTTGCAGTGAAGGGGGACTTTGCTTTTGTAACGCTAAATGCAGAAAAAGGTTTGGGAAATACTGTATTGGAAATACAATAGGGAATATTGTGTGACAATCTGCTTCCTGTTGACACTAGTATGTGTGCAACAGTGTTTGTGAATTGTCATCTTTGCTCTCAGGCTCATTAATATGGACTAACTTTTGCTTGGAAACGGTTCTCAACACTCGTGCACTGGGACCACAGAGAGTTAGAGTGGATGTAGCCTAAAAGTAGGAACTTAGCTAGCCAAAGTAGCAGTTACAGACCTTGGTGGACACAAACTTCGCAGACACCTCAAATGGGACAACCGTCTCTATGGTAACAGTCTCATCCTGAAAGACAACAACAGAGGAATGAGTCATATAGAATGGAAACCTGAAAAAGACCACAGTGCGAACTGTCAGCTGTGAGGAAGGTCTTTACTTTGTGGCATTTGCAGACAATCTGACGTCCTTCCACTGAGGTATCGATGCTGTAGGCCACGTGGAAGAGGAAGACCCTCGGTCCAGTTGACACACACTTCACATGTACGGAAATCTCCAACTAAAAAAGCACATTTGGCATAGATACTGGAATTACTGCTGTGGAGAAGCTGTAGGCAGCTGTGTGTATGAGGAAGTGGCAGAGAATGCAAGTCTCTCCTCCAACAGACTGCTTTAGAATGTGTGCGCACCTTCTGGCCTGGATGCAGATCTCCTAGAGGCAGGTCCGGCAGCAGGGCAGGGGCACTGTCGTCACAGACCTTTGAGCCGTCCAGGGTCACATGTGTGGTCTGACCCAGAGTGGCATCCTGACCTAGATACACCAATCAATACAAAACCATAACAAACATTGGTTTTATGGAAAATATGTTAAATACATTTCCAAAAGGTCATTTTTACTTCAGCATTTAATGACTTAAGTATGAGTATTTGAGATAGACATGAGGAGATTGACAGTAATCTAATGTTAGTGTGTTTATTAAAAGCTGTGCGTAGCCTAGATTAGCATAAATACTGGAAGCATGGGGAAACAGCTAGCCTGACTCAGCAAAGAAATGTGAAATAGCGAAACCTATAAAGCCTCAAAACGCTCTCTTTTGATTAATCTGTGCACAAACTGAATGTAAACAGAAATATTTGTGTTATAGCGTGACTTTGGTGTAGTAACTCTTGTATCAGTGCACCTGGTTTGAGGCCAGCTGTCAGTTTGACATCCTTTGCCACGCCCTCCTCCTGTGATTGGACAGTGAGGTTGATGCAGTACATTTCATTGTTGAGTGCAGGAGGCTGGTGGCTCAGCTGAACAGAGACCTTGGGTACTCTGGAGATGACCCTGAGCAACAGAAAGGATCAAACACTTCACATTTCAGTTGAGACAGTAGAAGCTGCAGTATGGTGGAGAACTGAACAAAGACTCACATGGTGCTGGGCTGCAAGGTCAGGCTGTCCCAGTCCGGCTCCTGCCGTGCCTGCACCCCCCGCCCCCATCGCCGTGATGACCTGCTAGCCTGCAAGGCCTCATGGGTAGAGGCCACATCTCCACCCGCCCCCCTCCAGCTCAGGAACACACAGCGGCCACTGTCACTGCCCAGCATCACTTCAATACCTGTCATCTGAACACACACTGTCACTACCAACTCTCTCTCCACCTGTCTCAAAGACAAACACACACACGCATCTCACCTCAATCTTCTTGCCAACGTCTTCAGTCTTTGCTACAAAGCTGAAGTTGTAGCACTGGGTTTTCCCAGGCACCAGGCTCATACTCTCCTCCCCTGCAGACTCCACCACACACCACTGGTTGTACTCCTACACACAAACACCACCAACACACAACCTTTTACTGGTTTTAATTTCTAGGACATGATGTGTGTGATATTCTTGTTGGTCAGGGTGAAAATGAATCCCTTCCCAGTATATCCACCAAAACATTTGGTTTACTTAACGGGCCAATTTTAACTCATAGGATTAAAGATCTAAAGATTGAAAAATAATTCTGAAATTGGGATCAATAAAGTAAATATTATAAATAGGGACGTCCAGCTGGGAGGAGACCGAGGGGTAGACCAAGGACCAGGTGGAGGGATTATATCTCTTGGCTGGCCTAGGAGCGCTTTGGGATCCCCCAGTCAGAGCTGGT